ACAAAGAATTCACACAGGACAGAAACCCTTTGAATGCAGTCAATGTAGGAAAGCCTTTACCACAAAGGAAAAGCTCATTGTCCTTCAAAGAACTCACACAGGAGACCCACTCTATGGCTGCTATGAGTGTGGGAAAGTTTTTGCATACATGTCTTGCCTTGTGAGAGAATACACACAAGGGAGAAACGGGAAGGTTCAATCAAAGTGGAACATCCTCTCGCAGACAGTCACAGCTCTTTACATACCAGCGATGTCATGCAGGAGAAAAACTCTGCTAATACGGTGATGACAAAAGTGCTTTCTGTGGTCCCTCAGACATCATTAAACATCAGTGACTTTTGGCAAACAGGAATGTAGTCCTTGTGGGACAGCCTGTGGCCAGATGTGCACCCGAGGAGATAACAGAGGATTTGCACAGGAGAGAAACCTTGCGAATGTAGTGAATGTGGTTGTGCTTTCAGTGATCAATTATGTCTTATTTTATGTCTCAGAAAACTCACAGGGAGAAAACCCAGATACATTCTATCTGGAAAAGGACTGAGCAAACATGTCTAGTTCATTATAGGGATAAAAAGCATATACTGAGAGAAAACGTATAAATGTATAAATGCAGACTGGGAAAGCCTGATAAACTCATCCTATTTACATATATGCCTTGACAGAGAGGCATAATCCGACGTTAACCCAAACACATACATAGCAATTGCTTTATTTTGTCAATTAAACGAGTGAAAGAACCCCCCCTCAAAAAAAAAATGTGCTATCAGTACCACACAGAAGGCAAAATGTTCTGACATTCTTCTTTTATGAGATGCTCAAACACATAGTGAATCATAATGTGCCCAAATCTGGTTAACTGGAAGCTACTGAACAGGGCAGTATCCTTGAGAAGATGTGTCCAACAGCAATATGATACAAGCCATGCACGTAATTTTAAATTTTCTAGTGGTTACATTAAAAAAGTGAAAGAGAAACAGGTGAAATGAGCTTTAAAATCTTAACTAACCTAAGGTATTCAAAAGGTTATCACCACAATATGTAATAAACATTGAGATTTTATGCTAAATTATATTCTCTAGGAATCCTTTTAACTGATCTTTCCTCCTGTTTAACAAGTGGTGTTAACTACTGGGCTCCCTAGCCTACACGGTCACACTCTCAATAACGGCGACCAGTTATTGAGCATATTAACGCATGCTACACATCACATAAAAGATACTTGTTAGAGACTTTTAATTTTTCCAAGGAAATTATTAGAGAGCCAGGTTATCTATATGCCTCATAAAAAGAAAGCAGATAGGCCAGGTGCAGTGGCTCACGCCTATAATTCTAGCACTTGGGGAGCCCAAGGGTTCGAGACCAGCCCAGGCAACTTGGCGAGACCTTGTCTCTACAATAAAAAATAAAAATAAAAAAATAATTAGCCGGGCGTGGTGGCATGTGCCAACAATTCCAGCCACTTGGAAGGAAGGCTGAGGTGGAAGGATAGCCTGAGCCCAGCAGATTGAGGCTGCGGTGGCCATGAATGTGTCACTGCACTCCAGCCTGGGCAACAGAGTGAGACTCCAACACACAAAAAAATAAATAAATAAAAAGATGGTTTTTTTCTTTTTCTCTTTTTTTTTTACACCCATAGAAATGTAAAATAGGCCGGTGCAGTGGCTCACACCTATAATCTCAGCACTTTGGGAGGCCTAGGTGTGAGAATTGCCTGATCCCACAGGTTCAAGACCAGCCCAGGTAACTTGGCGAAACCTAGTCTCTACAAGAAAATTAAAAAGAATTAGCCAGGTGTGGTGACATGTGCCTGTAGTTCCAACTACTCAGGAGGCTGAGGCAGAAGGATCACCTGAGTCCAGCAGGGTGAGGCTGTGGTGGTCGTGAGCATGCCACTGCACTCCAGCCTGGGCAACAGAGTGAGACTCCAACTCAAAAAGAAAACAGACACTAGAAGATTTTATGGTTCATGGCTAAGAAATACCCAAGACAGAATGAATCCAGATCTGATGGCAACACCCATTGTCTTTCTAGTCTCTAATTTTCTGACTTAACTGCATTCTTGAAAAAGCCAGTATGTAAAACACCTACATTACAACATATGAGTAAAAGATGTGAGAAATGCCACAGTGTACAGTTATGCCACTTCAATAATGAATTAATCCCAGGCTCATTGCCGATCCAGACTTTTCTTTCTAGTATCATCTATTAATACTTTGCACATCTGGATCATTCCAAATATGAAGTTTCATATTTTGCTTTAGTAAACAATCGGATTATAATTATTTTCTTACGTCATAACCTCCAAACACATGGACTTTGACAGCCATAGAGATTTTGAGCCAGATGTCTCCTACACAAACACCAACCTACCCCGCACTTCAAATGACTGGTTCAATCATCCAAAAAACACTGACTGGGCAGGGTACTTGTTGTGAGTGTTGGGGATAAGGTGCAAACAGGACAGATGGGTCTCTGCCCTCACATAGCTTATATTCTAGAGACAAAGACAGATAATAAATATATGGTGCCAGGTACTAATAAATGGTAAGAAAAAAAGGCAGCGTGACAGGTATGTAAGAAATTTAGTCTACCTTTATTATTTATCATGTTGAGCCACATGAAACTACTGACAAGCAACCATTTTTGACCAACAGAATGGGTAATTTTAAAAAATTATTTATTATTATTTTTTGAGACAGGGTCTTACTGTCACTGTTACCCAGGCTGGAGTGCAGAGGCGTGATCATAGCTCACTATTGAGAACTCCTGGGTTCCAGCAATCCTCCTGCCTCAGCCTCCCAAGTAGCCAGGACTGCAGATGTGTTCCACCATGTCCAGCTAATTTTATAAAACGTTTTTTTGGGTAAAGAAAAGTTGCCCATGCTGCTGGTTTTGAACTCTTAGCCTTAAGCGATTTCCCCACCTTGGCTTTCCAGCGCACTGGGATTATAAGAGAAAGCAACTGCGCGCAGTCCAGAATGGGCAATTTCATAATAGTCTTACTCCGTCGGACTGCTTCTGGTAGACCAGAAATGATAATGAACTACTGAAAGGCAAAAGACACACAGAACTGGACTGGATAACTCTCTCTCCCACAGCTAAAGCAGAAGAGGCCTCTGGGTATAGTAAGCTCAGGGATAACGGATGGGAGAAGCAATATGGACTGAGGTGGTCACTGCGGGGACCACAGAGGGAGTCTGCCATACTCATGACCACCGCAGCCTCAACTTGCTGGACTCAGGTGATTTCCTCAGGTGATATTCCTCTTAGCCTACTCCAGCTCAGGAGGTTCCTGCCTCTATCCAGAGCACCCTGGGAGGTGGTTCTTTCTACCAGGAATGGGGATTGAGGGGTGGCTCTAGAGAGCACCACTTTCTCTTGTGATTTCTTCAACTAGTTCTAAATGCAGAAAAGGCCCAAGAGCTTGGCAGTCTATTATTGTTTGGGTTTTTTGGGGCAAAAGATCATTATATTATTTCTTGTCCAATTAAATGACAAAAACAACAAACCAACCCCTGATACTCGAGTCACCTGATAGACCACATTGTGAAGAAACAAGCAGTCATGACATGCCTCCTGACAGGATGCAGAAGGACATATTCTTGCCAAGAATTCAAGCCTGGTTCTTATCAGGCCTCATACAAATGGCCAACAGTTATATCAAAAATGTCCAACGTCACAAATCATCAGGAAATAGCAAACTAAAACCATAACAAGATATCATCTCACTTCTGTTAAAATGGCTATTATCAAAATGACTAAAGCTAACAGGTGTGTTGATGAGGATATGGAGAAAAGAAAACCTCTGTATACTGTTGGTAGAAATGCAAATTAGTACAGTCATTTTAGAACACAGCATGGAGGTTCCACACAAAACTAAAAGTATCAACTACCACATGACCCAGCAATCCTGCCTCTGGGTGTATATCCAAAGTAAAATCAGCATGTCAAAAACATATCTGCACTCCCATGTTCACTGCAGCATCGCTTACAAGAACCAAGATATGGAAGCAACTTAAATGTCCATCAATAGATAAATGGGTAAAGAAATGTGGCATACATACACAATGGAATACTATTCAGCCTTTAAAAAGGAAATCCTGTCATTTGTGACAAACTGGAGGACATTATATTAAGCAAAATAAGTCTGACATAGGAAGACAAACACTGTATAATCACCTACATGTGGCATCTGAAAGAATCTAAAGATAGAAGTAGAAAGAATGGCTACCAGGGACTGGGAGGAAGGGGAAGTTGAGGAGAAGTGGATCAAAGAACACAAAATTTCAGTTAGATGAGAGGCATACGTTTTTGAAATCTATTGTACACCGTGGTGTTACAGTTAATAACAATGTATTATACATTTCAAAGTTGTTAGGAAAGTAAAAATAAAATGTGCTTACCACCAGTGATGATAAGTATGGGAAGTGATATGTGGATTAGCTTGACTAATTATTGTTCAATGTATATATATATAGTATATAATTGTGCATATAAATATATGTATACATGCTTGTGTATATGTATATAAATGCAATGTTGTACCACATAAATGTATATAATTACGACGTGTCAATGAAAATAAAAACGCCCGCTGGGCTTGGTGGCTCAGCCTGTAATCCCGCGCCTTTGGGAGGCTGAGGTGAGTGGATTGCCTGAGCCCGCGGGTTCGAGACCCGCCTGGGCAGCGAGACCTCATCTCTACAATAAATCAAAAAATCAGCCGGGTGTGGTAGCGCATGCCTGTAATTCCGGCTACTTGGAAGGCTGAGGCGGAAGGATCGCCGGAGCCCAGCAGGTCGAGGCTGCGGTGGCCAGGAGCGTCCATTGCACTCCAGTCTGGGCGACAGAGTGAGACTCCAACTCAAAAAAAAAAAAAACGCTCACAATAAAAAGCTTTAAGCAAGTCTGTGGCCTGCTCTCCCCTTCTCCATACATCACCCATTTGAGCTGGGGATGATCAGCTGCAAGGGCTCAAAGCGTTTTAGATGACTGCTCACCTGTCAATGAACTGATCGATAATGACAATATCGCCGGGCTGAATCTCCTCCCTCAAGGAGCCACAAGCTGTGGTCACTATGACATGGGTACAACCCTCTTCCTTCAAAGCCCAGATGTTTGCCTGGTAGTTGACCTTTGAAGGCAGGATGGTGTGCTGCCTGCCATGCCTGAGTGAAAGAGAGAAATGGTAGATGAATAATCACTGTACCACCAACTGTTTTCCCACACAGCCCAGAAAAAAATTAAGTGATTCTCTAGGAGTATCCACAGACCAACACAGGAGGTCTCCTGAAACCTACCCCAGTGACCATCTAAAACTAAAATTTGAGTTTACCAGACTCAGAGAAGCCACTTTCGTCTTAAAAATGTGAGTGGCAAACACACCCTAGTGTGGTCCCCACTGTCATTCCCTGTCTAAAGTGTGGGTGCATCTGAGACTTGTGTCTAAACCACTAGAATACAGCAAAGGTGTTGAAAGTCACTCTGGTGATAAGGCTCTACCTTGGTACCAAGCAACAGAGACCTTCTTCCTGAAGAAGCAAGCTATCACATGTGACCTGCCTGTGGAGAGGGCCACGTGGCAGGGAATGTGGACCACCTAGAAGCCGAAGGCCTCAGTTCTATAACTGCAAGGAGTTCAATTCTGCCACAACCACATGAGCTTGAACAAGGACCCTGAGCTCTAGACAAGAACACTGCCCTTGAATATACCTCGTGCAACTCCAAGCAGTGGGTTCATGATGCTGTGCTGGATGCCTGACCCACAGAAATTGTGAGACAGTGCATGCTCTTTGAAGATGCTGTATTTGTAGTAGTTTGTTACACAGTAATAGAAAATTAATATATATAGTTCAACTAATTTCTAACTATGTATTAAAAATAATTTTGCCTCTGTAATATGCAGCAACACTAGCTTTGTCAAGGAAACAACAGTGTAGACTCTTCAAGTAACTCACTTCAGGGACCCTAAACCCACTTCGTATAAACATATAAATAATTAGTTATTGATGAATGAAGCATTTAAAAAAAAATCTTGATAGGAAAAAAAAAAATGAGCAAAATAAAACATTTCTTCCTGCAGTTAGGACTGAAACCAGAGCATCAATTTTAGTCACCTGATCTACTCTTCCAATCTAAGGCACAGAGGCGTAAGATCTTTGATCTCCCAACTCAATATAAATTATCTAGAAATGATACGTGGTAGAAAGGTTACTAACATGTTCTGGCCCCACCAACATATGAAAACTCGACCTGCACTGTTACTCTTTTCAGAATTTAAGCTAAATTTAAATTCTTCTTTAGTAGTAATATTCAAAAATCTTAAAATACCATACCTTGCAAGGAGGACGCAATCAACGTTTTTTATCTTCCCCAAAATTAAGGCATCAGATGGCTGTATGCAATGAGAAATGATTATTAACTCAGTGATTTTTAAAGCATGTATGCAAACAACTAAAACTATTCAACCATAATAGGATTCATGAAAATTTAAAGTCTGAAGATACAGCTTAGAAAAGAGGCTAGACTGACTGATCAACATAATCATGTCATCAGTATTTACTGAGCCCTCTGCAGGCACACAGATGCACACTTTGCACATTTCCTCAGATGCCTGAGTAGGCAGTAAGATCTATAGGCAACAAGTATCCCAGGGGACTCTGAAGGGACACTGGTCAAATTTGGGTGTGTCTTAGGTATTGGGCAGGTTCTAGAACAGGTGTGAGTGAAAGGAAGAAAGGAAACGAGGCTCCTACTGTGACATTAAGAACTCAGCACTGGCACTGCCTACTTGTGCTAACCAGGTCTAAGATGGCCATGGGATGAGTTCAGGTACTAGAGGCTTGAAAGGTCCTTAGAACTGAGATAAGAAAGTGAACCAATTTGACAGCAAGACTACGAGGACACGAGGTCAACCTAAGAACTTAATTGGAAAGGGGGTTTGGCTGGGACTGCTAGATACAGAGACCTTACAAGAGGACCAGAGTTAGTAACAGCAGTATGTAATTAAGGGAAGTCAGGTGACACAGAGGCTTGGAGAACAAGCAACCTCTCCTAAAGAGAAGGGATGTTTTATTTCCAGTTCCATCTGTCACTGAACTAAGATCGATCATGTCCTGGATCCTCAAGACAGTCTTCCTTTGAGTCAGACCACACTCAGAAATGCCGCTTTGTAATGGTATGTAATCAGTCATCAGCCTGTCCCCTAAATTACTGAGGTGTGGCCTATTGACCCCAAATTGGAAGCTGATTTGAATGCAGGTTTGAAAAGTACAGCTATTATGTCTGAAATGAGTGTCTGACTTCTAGCAATATGATTTGAGAAGTGATTTACATATTCATTCATGATCTAAAAACACTGAAGTATGAGGCATCCTTATGGACACCTTCTCCGTTGATAGAATGCAATAGCCCTCTCTGCTGGGAGCAGATAGCCCCAGGCTGCCAAGACAAAAGCAATTTTTTTTTTTAACTTAAACATCAAGCCTAACATGTCTCCACTAACTGGATATTAACCTTGCCAAATGGAGTATCCACATATTTTTCAGTTCTTCCTTCTAAAATTTCTGGATCATCCAAGCCTGTTCCACCAATTATTCCAATCTAAGGGAGAAAAAGAATGAAGAGAAAAAAATTATTTGGTCATTTTTTGTTAGAAACAAAATCACTATTTTAAACAAATTCATTCTCATACACTCTTCTTTCCTGCTAAGCCCTAGTTATTTTTGAAAAATTGCAAAATTACTGAACAACAATCAACAAACATTTGAAGGACTTCTATAAAAATCAACAAACATCTGAAGGCTTTCTATATTCCAGAAATAACCAAAATGTAGGCCACCTTTTTGGACTATATCACATGTATTTCTGGTTGTTTGAGTTACAGATAAACACAGGGAAGTTAAAAAAAAAAACCCATCAAACCTAAATGTAGGCAAATATGGCTGCAGAAAGTGCTTTCTAATCAACTTGATTTTCTCTACCAACGACTATGATGTTCAGAAGACTTTTGGGATAAAAAATTAGGTAATCAATCTGGTCATGATTTCTCACTATCCCATTTGACAAAGAAACGAGACATTTTCTTTCCTATGCCATTAGAATCAGAGGGTTGGGAAAAAATGCAGACAGAAGAGATTGGAATAGCATGAAAAATTATTCTCATATATATTTATAAAATCAAACTGTTATTCATATGTGTATGTCAATTCATATTTATGTATATATAAATATGGTATATTCATATACAGTGTATGCTATACCAGAGGTCCCCAAACCCTGGGCCAGGGTCCCAATACTGGTCCAGGCCACACAGCAGGAAGTGAGTGGCCAGCGAGTGAACCAAGCTTCATCTGTATTTATAGCCACTGACCATTGTTGGCATTATCATCTGAGCTCCGCCACCTGTCAGATCACTGGAGGCATTAGATTTTCATAGGAGGACAAACCCGACTGTGAACTGCACATGCGAGGGATCTAGGTTGCACACTCCTTATAAGAATCTAATGCCTAATGATCTGAAATGGAACTGAGGCAGTGATGCTAGTGCCGGGGAGTGGCTACAAATACAGATTAACACCAGCAGTGAGGTTTGACTGCAGAGACCATCAAAAATCAATTGCTTACCGACTCATATCAAAACCCTACCAGTGAGTGGCAAGTGAGGATGTACTTAATCGTATAGGTGCATCTGGTGGCAGGCTTTAAGTCAGAATCGGATACTTATTTTAGTCTGTGCATGGCCTGCCCGTTATTTAATTTACCGCTTCCATCTGTGCCTCTTTTTTGTGTGTGTGAGTTGTATAATTATTTCATTATATATTACAGTGTAAAAATAGCATAAAGTACACAATAAACATTATGCACTGGAATTATCCCGAAACCATCCATCTCTAAAAAATTGTCTTCCATGAAACCAGTCCTTGATACCAAAATGGTTGAGAACTGCTGTGCTATACTGTACATATAGTCAATTAATAAATCTGTATAACTATATAAGTAATTCATAGGTAGTTACAATATTTTTTATATTCTTAAAAGTGGGAAGTACTGTATTATATTTTCCAGAGATTATCTTGAAAATCCTTAGCCTCCGTGAAATCTGAGTTAAAAAAACCTCATAACTACCCTCTTAAAAGTTCATCTAATTTGATGACTAAGAAACACAAGTAAGAACAATTACAAAGATAAATAAATATTAGCTAACTATTAAAACTAAAAACTAAACTTATTAGGAAAGTTGCCCTAGGCTGATAATTTCTGGAGGTGAAAGTATTTAAATAGTCAGCAGCAGGCTAAGGACATGAAGCCTTTCTAGAAACCTAAGGGAAAGTGACCTGAGAATTATGACTGCTTTTTTAGTGAAAAACTTCAAATCTATCGCCACTTGGGTAGCATTTCTACTAAATAAAAGAGAGTAGCTTCTTGAGAAAAAATTTCAGAGTTAAGAATTAACGGAATGTCTGAATTAAATAATTTTCAGGTCAGGTTACACAAGATGAGTAGGAAAATGGTTACCTTTCTAGCGCCCCCATTCTTGGAAAAAAAATCAAAGAAACAAGAAAATAAGGGCAATTTAGTGAGATTTTGCTGAAGAACCCTGCCAGTTTCCCATAACATGGCTACACAATTTGGGACTTTAAAAGTATCCCCTCAATTTCCCAAAGCAGTTAAGCCAGTTTTTGACGTTGGTGCCCCCTTGTGGAAGTACGGTTTTGAAATCACAGCAGGTTACATGTTTTATGTCAACTAAACTTAACATAGGTAAAGACAAACCAGTGTTACAGTTTTTGCATTAATAGAAAGTCAATATAGTTAATTAAATAATGCCAGTTTTAATAGAATTTTTTTAAAAATCGTACTGTTTTGTGCAATCCTAGCCATTCCTCTAGCCTAGCTTCTCCGTTTTAATCTTTCATTCCATCCTGCGCCATAGGTAGGGGGGAGGGGAGGGGAGCCTAACACACCGTCCAGCCCAGGTCCTCACCCTAACCCACAGAAACGAATTGCTCACCCTGAAATGACTCTCAGCCCACTCTTCAGGGCCTCAGCTACTCAGGAAAACCAGCTTTTAAAACTTATTATCACTTCGACTTGGCTGTTTCTGGATGGTCCCTGGGCCATGGCATCTCAGGCTCTGGATTTAACAGTGGACATTCGGGTTCCCATGCACAAATCAAACCTGGCTCTGGAGTCCCCCTTTAGGAGAGCCAGCCCAGCACTGCAGCAGTGGTTAAGAAATGCTAGCCAGGAGTTCTGCTGAAATCCAGAGTCCGTGAGCTCACCCTCAGTGGCTCCAGGCTTCAGTCCACACCACCTCTGCTGTAGATGACCCGTACTACGTGGCTGGCAACTCAGGCCTCAGCAAAGAGAAAGAAGCCAGGTGGAGTCCCTGGCACTGGAACGACCTACAGGCAAGCTCTTCCCATTACTCAGCTGGCTCTGGTTGTTTATGAAAACCCACATCTCGCAAGAGATACAGAGGCAAGAGCGTCAACTGAGAACTGCCATCCCAGCAAACTGGATCTCTAAGATGGAGGCCAGCAGTCCAGAGATATAGCCAATGTTGCCACCTGCTGGCTCTACAGCAAAGTACACATGAGATGATGTACAGTCCTCAAGCTCTGCTGGCCTAATTCTGTCCACACTTCCTTGACCTGAAAATACAACAGTGTATTCAGTACCTGCTTTAGTATTAAAGTGATGATGTCTGAGCATTTACGTGTGCTAAGTGCTTCAGCGGCCTTATCTCATTTGATCATCACAACCATCCTACAAAATAGGCCTTACAGAATTGTACCCATTTCTCAAATGAGGAAAGAGAAGCACAAACATTCAAACACAAAAAACAAAACCAAACTTGTGCAAGAGCAAATCATAAAGAGCAATGCTGGGATAGGAATCCAGGTCCCTCAGGCTTAACCACTATATGTGTTATCTCCCAGTATCCCCTGGAGCCATAACATCATACCCTATTCGAAAAGTTTTATTGCCTCTGTTTTGAAAAAACATGTAGGGAGGTCAAGTTCTTGACTAAGGTCATAGAGCAAGCCCAGAAACAGTGACTCTGGGTATCTAAGTGAACCACCTCAAAGAAGAGGATAACTCTACCTCGATGGCCTCATCCATACTCAGGAAAGAGTAAAAAGACCTTGCCTGGTCACCTGGCCTCCCGGCCCAGAAGCATCAGTCAGTCCTCAGTCCAGGCAATTCTAGACTGCCTAGGAAATGTGCTTGAGACCCGAGATGGAAATTCTGCCCAGTCAGAACTTCATTACACAAGATAAAGTTCTGGGGGCAACCCCTTCAGGTCCCCTCCCACTGTGGGAGATTTTCTGTCCTCTCAATAAATTCTGCTTTCTCAAAAAACAAACAAAAACAAAAAACTTAGCAAAAAAAAAAAAAAAGTTCTGAAATAGGGACCCTCTGGTCAATCATGGTTACAGTCAGACTTCAACAGCTAGTGGTGGTTCATTTCACACTTTTCCACTGATAGATTACTAAGCCAATCTCCTCAAGAAGAGGTTTTGACTTCTCTATAATTGTGAAAGCATTCTATCCAAATACTTACCTGGACATATGGTTCCTTCCAGCAAGGCTGGAAGGGTGCATACTAGCCCCCTACCCTGTGTCCACTTCCCTGGTACTTAGCCACAAGAGATTTCACTAACCATCCTTAGTCTCAGAAACCACTCACCATCACTTTGACACCTGGATACCCTGCCTTCAGAAACACTCTATGATACGATGGCATTCTCAAAACACCATGATCCCAAGCAGCTGAGACTAGCTCATGCCAGGGAGATGGACTGCCTCTAAATGCTTCAAGTCCACAATGAGGAAAGAGCCAGAATTGCAGCTGGCACAGTCCATGATCTGAGTATTTCCATCCCTCAGCTTTGGTTGCCACTGACAAGTTTGGCAAGCACAGCAGACAGAAGTCTTCATTCCTGGGCTGACCTGGCTTGGAGGGCTCCCAGGGCCTTGCAAAATCCCAGAAGCCCAGCTGTAGGGAGAGCAGCCAAATGTCTCAGTCTGGGAGAACTGTTAAAAATCTGCAGTATGAGCCGGGCTCGGTGGCTCAGCCTGTAATCCCATGCTTTGGGAGGCCGAGGTGAGTGAACTGCCTGAGCCTGCGGGTTCAAGACCCGCCTGGGCAACTTGGTCTCTATAATAAATCAAAAAAATTAGCCGGGCGTGGTAGCGCACGCCTGTAGTTCCAGCTACTTGGAAGGCTGAGGCGGAAGGATCGCCGGAGCCCAGCAGGTCGAGGCTGCGGTGGCCCGGAGCAGCCACTGCACTCCAGTCTGGGCGACTGAGTGAGACTCCAACTCAAAAAAAAAAAAAAAAAAAAAAAAATCTGCAGTATGGTCCATCTCTGACAAGACATCCCTCTCTTTAAGCCACCCTTATAGATAATGGCTACAGGCTAAATTGAGTCCCTTATTAAATTCATGTGCAAGGTTCTAACTCCCAATATCTCAGAATGTTGACTGTACTTGGAGACAAGGTTTTTTAGGTAACCGAGGTCATTGGGATGGGTGCTAATGTAATACAGCTGGTGCTATGGTTGGACTACAGCTTGTCCCTACCAAAACTCATGT